AGTGTTTGCAAGCTTTGCACGAGGCCATGCGTGTTACACGCGTGGCGGTGTAACACATTAACCTCAGATGTAGTTTACCTACTTGCTACAGTTACAGACATTAAAAAAAAAAAAAAGATGGTAATAAATGAAAATGGATGAAAATTCTAAACCTATACACTTCTAGTTCAGGAAAACCTGTAGTGACGTGTAATATTTTCATCACCCAGCTATTCTGTCAAGGCATTCTAGGCGCTCGGCACCGCTACGACTTGAGATTCTCCTACGGGGTTGAGATATAAAAATGCATCATTTTTTTTTGTCTCAAGGACATATCAGTTTCGATTCTTCCACAATTTTCGTCTTTTTTCCTAAAAACGGTATTAAATAAAAGAGTTGTTATTTCTTAGACATTGACTTGAGATATCATCACAGCAACACTAGAACCTGTTAAAAACCTTTTTTTTTTACCTCTGTTTCAGAGGTAAAAACTCAAAATAAGGGCGTTGACACCCGGTTTTTATCTTTTTTACCGTTACCAGCATACAACGATTCATCTTCAGTTTGTAAGGTTTGTAAAATCTTATGATAAGTTTGGTCAGAGCCACTTTAATGTATTAAAAATTTAAGTTGGCTCCTACTCTACAGCTTTGTTAGAGACTTTGCAAAAGGACAAAACTTGATATCTTGATGATTGACGGTATTAAAACTCGTTGCCATGGTGACGTTACACATCTAAGAAAACACCTTAACCTGTCTAGAAACGACTGCGAAATTATGTGATACCATTTTCGAAGAACCAGAAACGAGGAAAATAAATTATAGTTAAAATAAATTGTAAAAAAATCAGTGGTTTTGAGCTTCAGAGGTTTAGGCTAGACAAGGGCAGAAATATATATACAACACAACTTTCGCCAAAGCATTAAAATGGTTTTTCCAAGACTAAAATGTTTGAAATTTCCTGACTTGTTTATGTGTAAATCGAATTCCAAAAATATTCCAATTTGCTTCATTCGCTTTGAAGAAGGGCTAACGCCCAGAATATCAGCTTTAGAAACTACTTACGGTAGCCAGTTTACATTTTCAACTCAGTTGTTCACACGAAATTATCTTCTAATATCCCCTACCGACACACCAACACAGTTTCTTTAAAAACTTACCCCTTTAATTAATTCAAAAAGAGTCTTTTGGGATTCTTAGCTTCTATTTTCCATATGGTATAATTACCCGTATATGCAATAACTTAACAACTAAGATATTAAAAAATTGTACAAATTAAATAAATCTTACTAACAGGCGATAGTTTTTCAGATAGCCATATTACATTACACGAGAATAAGGTATCTACAAGTTTTAAAGATAGGCGGAAAGAACTTTGGTTCATAAGAGAAACTTGGTTTTACATGAGCTTAGGCCAATTATTACATAATCAACGTGCTCTGTCTGGTTTCAAGTGCATAAGTTACCTAGTATGAACAAGTGAGCAAAGGCATGGCCCAGATACAAATTAGATCTGTTGTGAAGTACGTACTTTTCTGTAACACGACTAACGCAAAATTCCTTAAACTTTGAGCAACCTCGAAAGCTGTTTTTCAGTTTTTGGCGAGGGATACACACAAATACATTAAGTCCTAAGTTTTTCTTTGTCAATCCTAGAAAGTTTTTTGAACCGCTAAAGACTTTCACAGTCCGAAAGTTGCTAAGAAGCTTCGAACTCAAAAAATAGTGCGAAGTATTTAAGAGCAGATTTTTTCAGTAAAGTTCGTTTTCTATGTTAGTGTAAAGATCTTAAGTAATGTTTTATATTGGTCCTATGCCTCAGATAAACAGTGAACGCTGTACGTGTCTTAGTTGCCTAGACGGCTCGTTGCTAAAAATAAAAAATTCCTTCTAAGTGGAATTTTTAAAAGCGTAGAGTTTGTGAGGTATAAACCTGTACAAGGTAGACCATTGTTGTTCAATAAGAACATACTGTTTCATATCAGAAAGCTCTCACGAAAGAAGGAGATCTTTACCCATATTGATGGATGTAAATCTTATCAAGATTCAGGAAAATACTACTTTGTTTTATTAAAAAGGCGCTGCACTTATCTAAAACGTTAATATTTTTAAAAAATTAAATATAGTTAAAAAAATTTTTTTTGAGTTGTTCTTGAAATCCTCGATTAATTCAGAATCGAAAAATGGAAGGGCACCCTCACACAATGGTTGATTTTTCCCGTCCTTTTCGTGATAAGAGCAGGAGAAGGTTTACCTGAGGAGGGCTCTTAATTTGTTTGCTCTTTACAAAATCCGTTAAATAAATACTTCTTTACTCCGAGAAACTTAAATTACACCAGGCGCAAAATTATCAGCCCGCACAAAACTAGTTTCCTCTGACTAAACGTCAACACGAAACAAAAGCTTAGCGACACGGTGAGAAAACAGACTTTTTTAATTTAACACGAAAATAATTTCTTTTAAGTTGCTCCGCAAACAGGCGGTAGGCGGTAGAAAAGCTGTCTAAACACATCGAAGAGGCTTTTGTCTTCTCGATAAAAGATGCGCGAGGAACGCGAAACCCTCGCTTGAACCGGGTTCTATATAAAGAAGCCTGTGTATCCCTTTTCACAACGTGTTTCTAGAGCATTGAGACCAGGACGCGTCAACATGAAGGCAATTCTAGCTTTGTTGTTTCTCGCAGCAATTTCCGTCTTTGTTCAAGCAGAATGGGCGTCGGAATTCCACCCTCAGGCCATGTTGGAGTACGTCAGGGGAGAAGACCATGAAATGAAGAGGCAGCTTTATCATTTGGTGAAGATGGACAATGGCTTCGAGACAAGCTTCAAGCGTGAGTTTCAGCCGAGTGTTAGGCCAAGCATTCAACCAGGCTTGTTAAGAGTAAGTATAGAATCACACCCAACACAGTGGTCAAACGTCGGGCATGAGTAAAGAGATCAATTTTTGCCAGCTGCGCGCCAATTTCACGCCAAATATTTCATAGAAAAATATTATAAACAACTCCTGTCAGGCAAGATTTGTGAAAATAAATTGAAATCATAGAAACTTAGGTAAAAAGAGACAAAAATACGGAAAACGAAAACTCTACCCTTCTCTTTATACGGTTTTAAAACAAGTCACTGGCTTAAGCGTTCGTTTAAACCTCGACATGACTACATAAGACTTAGTTCTAGCAGTCTGACAGCAGCTATTACAACTTTCGCAGCTGCGCAAATGTTTGACGTATGTGTTATCGCGGCTATGAAGAGAGGATGAGGTAAGCTCAAATAAAAAGTAGGCAAAGATAGATGTTCAATTCGTTTATTGTGAGATTGAAACAAAGAGAATCAAGCCTGTCCCAGACAGTCAGTTTAGGGCACGAGCCAAAACGAGTGGCGGTTCGCGAGAGATTAATGTGAGTTAAGAGCATGGCAAAACGTACAAAGAGATCTGAGTTCCCGATTTCGACCGATCTGCGATCCAGTACTACGCCACAGAATGCTCGAAGAGATGAGGTTGTTCCCTTAAATTACATTCACTTGATCTAATTTTGATTAATTTTGTTGGATTGAAGTGTGTTGTGCAGTTCAAGAGTTGTAAGAATGCAGCAAACAGCGCCTGTGAGGAATTGAAATGTCTCAAGCAATTTGGCTTGTGTCTCAAAAGTGCAGACTACGAACCTTCCGAGGAAGAGGTACGTTCTTGTTCCTTTTTATATTTTTCTTTCACTCTCTCGTTAATTTTCCCTCTCTTTACCCGGTTCTTGAAACATTGCAAGGAAACAGAGATTCAAGCGGGTTAGTGTTGGGAGTTATTCCCAAATTGAGACTGTTTACAAGTTTTTCTCGCGTTCTACCAACTTCCAGCATGAGATCACGTTGTAAAAACCCTGAAAAACATTCCCTGTTGCTTAATAAGATGTTTAACTCTTTGCTTGTCTTTAACTTCAATTCCCTGCCCTCCCCTCCCTTAATATCATTTCAGTTATTTCAAAGGCCCTTACTAGGGTCACTCAATTTTCAAGATCCCCTCATTTTCATACCCAGTGGGCAAACCACTCTTTCCCCCCTCCAAACCCAGCGATAATCAATGAATGGTCTCCCACTGATGTAGATCCAGATTAGTAAAGTAAAACTAAGAATCTTAACTTTTCTCTATGATTGGTCCTTAAAAATCGTGCCATCCTCTCAACCAATCAGATGCAAAACTAAAAGCAAAAGCGACTTGGTCAATGGCGATTTTCTGCGCTTAAAGCGGTTTGCTTTTTTTCACTTTGAGTCTAGTCATTGGTTAATCATAATGTAAACCTTCGCTCTGATGGATCCCTTAGATTATTTTGTTTTCAATTTTCGAAACTGAAATGAAAACTGCTTTACAGGCCTTATGCTATTTATGCTAGTAAATACATTGAGGGCTGACTTATTGCTATTCTGCTTCGTCCTATACAGAAAAAGTGTTTTCCCATCATCCCTTGTTGTATGATGATCAGCAAATCGTGCGAGGAAAAGCTTTGCTGTGTGACACGATTTGGGGAATGCGTATACAAATTGCACATTGGAAAATTGCAGTAAAGAAAAACGACTCCTTGTCTTGGAAACAGGAAAAATCTAACAAAGCCTGCAAATTAATTGTAGTTTATATCGATATCATGTTGCCATCATGTAACAAGTGTAACATTAAAAGAGCCTGATTGTTATAAAAATGTGTCATTATGAATGATTTATGGGATTCCTAGTTCGTTCTGGGTGAGATAGTAGCTCTTTGGACAGAAGTATTAAGCGAAAACAACCTTAAAATGTGTCAGACCTCAAAAGTCTGAGGCTACGTAATGTTAAGTCACGTTTATTGAGTTTTTCATTTGCTGAGTTATCGGTTCTCGACGCGCCAATTTTCTGTTTATTCGTCATAACATGAAAAAATAAACAAGGCTAAGAAGTCGCTAAAGTAATATTGAATATGCCACTCGTATGGTGCGTTGATTTGTCCTAAAACGATTCACCAAACTTAGACCCGTTAAGATCTTCTAACAAAAGGCTTGAATGTTAGGTCCCTTGTCCCATAACTGCCCTCACACGGTTTTTCTTCCAACATTTGCACATACTTTTATAAACCCGACGAAAAGATTTCAGTTGTAAGCTGTACAAGATTGGATTGAGGGAGCTGTTGCTTAAAACGAGCAGGAAACTTATGTCTCTTAACCAGTGAATGACAGAACAATCACACAGAGAACAACAATACAAAACATAGATGAACAAACAAGAACAACAAAAATACAAAACATAGCTTGGATGAACGTTGAATTTAAACAATCGTGCGAATCCTGAGAGAAGGGACAAAACCTTCGTCACAACAAAAATTGTGTCCCCATACTAGATCATTCAATGTATAGCTTGGTTAATTCCTTGAATGAAGCAGTGACTGTTTGCGGATTTGGAGCGATTAAAGTTTTTGCAGTGTTTTACGGCTTGATGAACTGCCTAACAAGACCAAAAGGCCGCGATGGTAATGCACGAGTTTCGCACCGTTGACTTCTACCCTCGTGTAAGACTCCCACTTGAATCGTGCGAATCCTGAGAGATTTAAATATTCGGTAATAAGCGAAAACTAGAACACTCGCTGTACTAAGCACTGTTGTGTTGGCAAAAACAAACGCAAAATTGATATAACCTGTCTTGATATATGTCAGTGATAATAGCACAGACATGATCCATAAAGCCATGCAGATTTTTATGGTGCAAGACAAAGTGACATGACATTTATACCACAAAGAATACGATATGGCTAGATATCTATCAATTGCAAGAACACTAAGGGTTAATACTGAAGTAGTGCATGACATGAAATAGCTCAAATGCGTAATATACACGGCCAGATCATTTACTACACTTCCTTGCACTTCCTGATATGTGAAGTACACCGCCATCGGTTCTGTTATGGCGCCCGCGGTCAAATCTGCCAGTACCAGGTTAGCGATTAAGACAGTGAAAGGTTTGCGCAGTTCTTTGTAAGGGTCTTGATAAACTGCCAACAAGACGAAAAGGTTTCCCGCGATGGTAATGCACGAGAGGCACATTGATGCAATCATAGAGAAGTAGGAAAGATATGTTGGTGGTTCACAATCCATCTTTTTAAGATTGTCGCCCCAGAGGGAACATTTTAGCTGTTGGTCTGTTAGATGGACAGTTGAGGTGTGGTGCACAAGTCTTCTATCAATAAGGAAGCAAGAAAGCACTCGCAGTCAAGCTCGTTTCTTTGGCAAATTATTTTCAGCACTAGGATAACGTGAGAAACGATTCTAATTGCGTTTAACGATATTTCGATTAATGCGTTTATCAAAAATCCTTTGAATACATAGAATAGATGGCCCACTTTAATCAGAATTCGCGTTCAGAATCCACAAAGTGCGTATTTTTTAATTTTTCCCTTCGTTTTTCTCTTAGAATTAAAAATGATAAACTGTGGTCGAAAACGTACTACGGTTTACATCGAAACATTACCACCGCAGCTAAAAAGACCATGTAGTTCTGCACAGATTTTATTTTCCGACCTGACATCAAGGAAAGAACAAGCAATATAACAGTGTTGGGTTTAAGTAGATGCTAAAGGAAAAGTGAACTCTTACATTATGGTGGCAGGGAATACTTATACCGAACGTTTAAGTATTACCTTATCGCCACCCAGTTTGGTCAGTGAGTGGTAGATCGGAGACTTTTGCAAAACTGAATTTACAAATTAGCAGGGATACCTCACAAAGAAAAGTGAACTTTTACAAAAGGACTTTCGTGTCTACAAAGATAAATTTTGAGGAAATTTCACAGTCTGTGAACCATACGAAGTCCCATTTAACGTCAAACCATTACACGGTAGTTCCAGAAAACCAGATTTTCCTTGCTATTTTCACTTTGGACGTGACCTCTGCACCATCGATTCCCACGAAGGAGATGTCGAACTTGTTCTTGGTTAAGGGGTCTTGAACCTCTCCATTCTCGATCTTTGGTGAACCAGAGATGCTCGGAATCTCCACCTCGGTTCCATATCTGAGCAATAAGTCCACCACCTTCTCCGTGCCAACATTATCAGGGACGCCATCAAGCTGAACCACCTTTTAAGATTGAACGGAGAGAATTATCTTTAAAATATTGCGTCCTGGGGCAAGACAGTGCACTATCACGAGGATCATCTTAAACCAGAGGCATAAATGGAAAAACGTCACTTGGCAGAGAAAAATATGGAATAAAATAACATGCTGTTCAAGGAGTAGGAAAATGGCATTTGGCTGTATGCGGACTCATTTAGTAAACAAAAACTCTTGTGCAGGGTCGTAACCAGGGAGGCCAGGGGTGAGCGTCTTACCCCTCTCCCCTGTAAGGTAGTGATTCAAGTGGTGAAAAAACAAGAATCCTAAGCCTTTCCGATGTTAGACACTCTGCAATTTTCCGGTTTGTCTCCCCCCGCGTGAATATATGAGCCCGCGCGAAAGCCACTCCACGTTGAGGTGGGGAAATTTGAAACCATACCCCCCTAATCAATTAAATTTAGCTGAGCTCCTTGTTGATGACGGTGGTTGTCAGAAATGTTGATAAAACACTTTCTTGTAGCGGTTACCATGTAAATTTTAATCTCTGAGAAGAAATCGTCTGTATATGAGACTTTCTTTAGTTAGCTAAACCAAAAAAGTCATTTACCTGAAAGAAATCTGGACTTTTGGTCGGAATGTGAAACAGGAACACACTCTTCTTGTCGCCATACATGAAGTAGTTACCGTGATCTTGGTAATCGCCCTTGTCAAAGTGCTCGTAACGTGGAACATCAATGATCTTCATCTTTACAGACATGAATGGATTCTTGTCATGATCAGAAGGCATACCAACGAAGCAATCGAACTTTTCCTTTTCACCAGCGTACTCGGACTCTTCAAAGAAGATTTCGTGAAACCTTTGTTTTTTGCTTCTAAACACGATTGGCTGAGGCTCACTGCTGGTCTTAAGCAGTTTTTCTTGCATGGAAATATACTTTTCGGCGTCTTTGTCTTGGAGGAACTTCAGTTTCACCACGTTGTCATACTGCTTGGAAACATCGTTGAAGTCTCCGATGTAAGATGCGATCACTTCGTTCTCCTGATTGACAACTCCTGTGGTGACAAAGTTGTGGAGAACTTTGGCATCGGTGCACTGAAAAAGAGGTATTAAAGATAAGGACAAGAGCTAACTTAACTGACAAAAAGCGTTTCCATTCCCGCTCCCACCCAAGAAACAAGATATGATACTTCCTCACCGTTCCAATTGCGTTAAGGATTGCATTCCTCAAAATGTCACCCATGTCGTCTAAGAATTCTGTGGACGTGGCCCATGGATCCATGCAGGTTGTGATGATGAATTTGACAGGTGTGTCATTGTCGTGCTCCAACTAAATTTCAAAAGAAATAATAAAGATATATTGCCGTGAACGAAGAAAAGATTAAAAGCAACCTGAAATCCAGGTTGCATTCGTCTTGACTTCACGCAGCGATTGGTCTAGAAAATTCGCGCCATTCTCTGGACCAATCACAATTAAACCTATCGCGTCTTGGTTAATCGTGTTCTTCCACACTTCATTAAGTTCGATTTTTACTCAGAGTTGTTATTGGCTCCGTTTGATATCTTATATTCCTCTACTCCATCGACAAGTGCTGTAACAGAGAATCACACGGCTGCAGTTGTATGCGCTAAAGCACAGAAAAGCGATGGTAATAACCCTGGATTATCATCGGCCCTTAAAGACATTTCTCATTATGTATCTTAACTCCCATATATATAGCCCCATGATTCCTACCCCTAATCTTTTCTTGAAATTCGGAACAGCAGCACTGTGTTTATGGGGAACCAAACTTGATGCTGTCACAATCATTGGAACTCGACGCGCGGTGTGCTCGCTAGATGTGTGACACAGGTCCTGGAATAGTGCCAAGTTGATCTCATTGCACTTTTCAACACTTCTGTTTCCTTTCAAGTTGACAGAAAAACACGGTATCATGGTGTCGGGACCAACCTCCAGGAGATACTCCATAGCTTCTTCATCCTGTAAGTTAAAGAGGCAGCAGGTTATTTTATAGCCAGAATTTTTTTCTTGTTAGATATCAAGATACGATACAGACAATCTTTGAGCAATTAATTGAACTTCACAAAGTACTCCACGCCTCCTGAAATAATTTTCATTCAAAAAAAGTTAAAACCCTCACTTGACTGATATTCTCTTCCAACATGGCAGAGGTAATGTCAGGTGAACTCATTCTTCCGGCCCGATTCAGTAAATTCCTAATCAGAAAAATACGTGACTCTGTACGTGGATCATTAAAAAAAAATACCTTAACGAGTTCTTCGTTGCTTTTCCCCAGAATCCTCTCTCTGATAAACTCCTTTTGCTGCTTTTCTGACATCTTTTTGTATTTTTTTGGAAGCGATTTCGTCGTTTCCAAGACAAAGGTGTCATCGTCCTGAGCTAGTGTTACCCACAGGCAGTACATGATCTTGGCAGTAAACATACATTCAGCTAGGATACGACCGTAGCCATTCTTGTCGAGACCGATGACCTACATATGATCACATACGAAGCAAACAATTACATACCAACAACACAACTTCTGCGTCTTCAAATTGCTTAAAAATCTTGGAACATTATATGATTTTAAGGTTTGAATGAAAAATATTCTTGTCACTCAATTAAATGAGGATTATTTTGGGATCATTTATGACCAGCGTGGAACTAAGACAAATAATCTGAAAGCAAAAATTGTCTTTCTCCCAACAAGTGACTTCGTAGCTTAGTTGGTTGAGGTGCCAACTCACAATCAGGAAGGCACGGTTTCCTAATCCGACTCTATAGAATTAGTTCGAAGTCTAAATTTTTTTTCTAAAATGCATTCGCTTAAACCGCAATTTGTTAGAGAGGATCTATTCATCACATTTGGTACAGAACTACTGGTAAAATTAATATAGTACATATACTTATTGCAGTGAAAAACCTCAATTGTAGTTCAGATCCATGCCGGAATATCCCCGAAAGTGTCCGTCTTTTTTTTTTTTTTTTTTTTTTTTTTTTTTTTTTTTTTTTTTTTAAGAATTGAGGAATTTTTTATTTGGAAAGCTAGAGGAAGGGCAGGTTTCTATCTAAGGACTAGTTATCATTATTCCTTACTTTGGGCTGGTGGGGGGGGGAGAAGAGGTTTTGTTTCGTGTTTATGTAACAATAAAATTTACCTTATCCCCTGTAACATCCTTATAATCATTCCCCCCCCCCCCCCATCTCATGCCGTGAATTTTCTATAGTTCCTCCCTTTTATACTCTGTGTTGATCCTGATCCCCTCACCGTTCTCCCTGAAAGCCATATGATCCTTCCCCATAAAAAAAAATCATCTTCCCCTTCCCCCCCTCCGACGTGATAAACGACGAGTGAACTCTCACCCTGTTTGCCAACATGACCCCAGCGGCAGCAGCTCCTGGTTTGGATCCTTCGATGCCGATGTCTCCTAGTGTCATGTCTCCATGATAATACACAACAGTGGTGGTGATCTGAAGAAAGGTGTTCATCAACTTGTCTCTGTAGCATAATGCTCCAGCGGGGTAAGGACAGAAGCCAGATTTGTGTGGGTCAATAGTGATGGTATCGCACTGGTCCATGGCTGACAACTGCTCTTTAACATATGGACTCAGCCACAACTCGGGAACAAATCCCTCGCTACCAGCGGCTACAAGCTTACTCTTAGGATCTCGTAACATGCTACAGAAGTATCCTCCCCAAGCCCCGTCCGCGTGCAAGCTGAAGCAAAGGCCCTGTATGACGATAAAGAAGAGTGAATGAAATAGCTTGGCGCCCCAGCATCGTGATTGTAATGTGAGATAACATTGAGGTTTAACCTTTCGTCTTAGATTTTAAGAAGAAGTAGGGATACGTGAGGCCGGAGAAAAAACATAATTGCAACCTGACCTAAGAGCGGTTTTAAGTGCGAAGAAATTCGTAAGTTAGTCATTTGAAGTACGTTTAAGCAAGAACAAACATGATCCGCTCCTCTGGAGTCCTTGGCCTGACGACAGCATTATCCCAAGCCAACCTGCTCCACAACTGCACTTACGTAATTCCGAATTTAA